ACGGTTTAAATGAATTAATATACGTCATATGCGTGATCTGAGGTAACGGGTTCATATATTTGCTGGCGGACTATTCATTAAATTGTGATGTGAGAAAGTTCTTCGTCTCCTTATCGTCACCTTCTTATTTACCTTCTTTATCTACTTATTCTTAATCTCCTCCTCCTCCTCTTCTCTACTACGACTACTACCACTACTCTTAGTAGTACTACTACCACTACTCTTAGTACTACTACTACTACTACTACTACTACTACTACTACTACTACTACTACTACTACTACTACTGTTACTACTAATTCTACTAATTATACTGCTACTATTACTATTACTACTACTACTATACTTCTACTACTACTAATACTGTCACTACTACTACTTCTTATACTCCTACTACTTCTACTACTGCTGCTACTACTACTACTACAACTACTACAACTACTACTACAACTACTACTACTACTACTACTACTACTACTACTACTACTACTACTACTCGGAGAGGATCTAAAGACTTCGGTTCTTTGGTTGCTTACTAACAAGTACTTATGCTTAACCTAGCAGCCAATGTTAATGATTTCTTCTTCTATTTATGTTATGTAACCTGTTACTTCCCCCACGCTCAAAGTACAAATCGTATGAAGGAGTGGAGGAATAAGTCACTATACTTGAGTGCTCACTTTAAGACTCCTTCGCTTCAACACGATAACTTCCGAATCCTCATTTTTTGAAGGGAAAACGACCGAAATGAGTCACTGTGATGTCCCCGACCAGGCACCCTGGGGTTGTCATTCAGTCCCAGTCAGGTTGGGGTGTAGGATCGAGAAGGCCATGAACACTGACTCGTCCTAGAACTAGGGGCCCTTACAACCCGGATTACAGGGTGAGCCATGAACTAATTCTGGATCCAAATTAAGAAAACATTATCATTGACATGGCTGTTACAGAAGTGATGGATAAATATGAAATTAAATGTTTCGAGAGTAAAACATGCGATGGATGCAAGTGTTAAAGCCACACTGCACTACTTGTAGCTACTTGCGCCTTCTATTTAGCAAACAATGCCTAAGCAGTGGCCGGTGGTCCCCCATGATCCCCATTTTCTTATGTTGATTGAGAGCTGACTTGATGAGATAACCATCTGTCAGTGACCATGCAGGGAGGTCAAACTAGTGCAGATGGGCTTTAAAACAAGATAAATGCAAACAAGAAAGGATACGAACCGTATTATGTCGCAAGTTCTAGAATACAAATGCTTTGATTTACATGCAAATGAAATATATATATAAGTCTAGCATTCCTTTCACGAACTAGAAGGGACTATGTAACTACACTACCCATGTGTCTATAACAACTCTGAATATTTTCGAATTATGAAGCATTATTGCCTAATGATATCAAGCCGAGATAGGTATTTTATTTATTAATTTGCATTATGGAATATGGCTGACGCCTGACGGAATTATAACCAATGCATCAAGTGGAAGAGAACAATTTGCAACCTGGTGTGAAAGAATTGTATTTATTTGTTATTTTAACTCGGGAATTTATTCGTTTCTGAATGACTTATTATTCTTTCTTGATGCCAATTATCGGTTTATTGAAGCATCCTAAAGGCATTCTTCGACCACGCGGACTGGTATTTCTTTTCGCATGCAAAAATGTGTTCATTTAAACATTTTGTTTTAATCTCATGTTCGTCGATTACAGCCTTTTTATTTTTTCACATCATAATGGTCTATGAAGTTAAATGTATCCTATTGCTCATGTCACTACTGGTTTCACAACAGACCGCTCTTTCTAATCATATCATGAGGCAATAATGAATACAAAATAAAATTGGTTCTTTATTAGTCTAGACCAAAATAATAGATAATTTAGACAAACCAGGTGAGAGACCAAACGTTTATTAATCAGATTGTGATCAGACAAATTCCGAAATGGCCAAGAACGCGTATTAGACAAAGTGGCAACTGAAGAAAAGAAAAGTAAGATGAAGAGCCCATCCGGTGTAGACAAGATGCGATGGGACGAAATTGGGAGTGGACAATTTGGCCTGAGACCAGATGGCAGGAAACCAAGACTCGTCCTTTGATAAAACGTTATGATCGATGCCCTCTACAAGGTCATGATACGATCCTTTTCAATTCTTCTTGGTCGAATGAACACCTGAATCCAGGATGCCCTCGTTTATACGACCAAGATGAGGATCTACACTTAAATGACCAAGAGTCCCTTAGACAAGATGCGAGGGGACGAATTTGGGGGTGGACAAATTGGCAATCGACCAGATTAAAGAAACCTTTGATAGCATTGCCCTTTACGAGGTCATCATAAGGGTCAAAGTTTCTTCAAACATGAGAACAAATCTTGGTCAAAACATACCTTGATACAGACTGACGTCATTTGCGACCAAGTTAATGATTCGCTCTTTAAAAAAAGGGAATAGAATTTACTGGCAACAGGCGATGTGGGTTTAGACGGTGTGCAATGGGACGAATTTGGGAGTGGTCAAATTGGCGTTGGAGGACCGAATGGATAGAAGCCGATGACCTCTCCTCTGATAGCAACGCCCTTTCTAAGGTCATGATAAGGGTAATACGCAGAATGTATCATTTCTTGGTCGAAGCAACACCTGGATACAGATTGCCTAATTAGCCAACTTGAGGATACGCACTTTTATGAGTCTCTGATTCTAGACCAACCTCTAAGCCCTCATTATCTTCTTTCGTTGACCCATAGGGACATCTAACCGTTTAGGATGTAATTAATCGAGTCAGACATACTATGAATCACATTTTAATAGCTGTAAGATTGCATAATGACATATAAATACCGGCGAGTTTCCGTTATGTTGGCCGAGTCGCATGTTACTCAAGGATGCGGCAATGCGTGTGGAAGTTTGTTCCTGGTCACTGGGGTTTATTAGCGTTATTTGCTAGGAACGCAAACACAGGGATAAAGACAAAAGATAAAATGCATCCCAAATAACCTTTTTTTCATGGGGAAAGCGATTCAGTCCCTGATCTCACATTTAAATAGTCTAGTTTCTGTCCTTTTGAACATAAATGGTGATTCTGTGTAAAACTAATAATTTAATTGGAATTTAAAACAACAAACAAAATAAAATCGTCGCTCTTTCCCTAGAACGGTTGTAAGTTCTGTTGTCGGCAAAATTTAGAATCAAGGACACGTTAGATCATTATTTTAAATTGAGAACACCATCATTGCTTTCCTAAAGACAAACTTCAGGGCAAAATTTGACCCCACTCCCATTCTCCGTTTGAAATGTTCTTTAAATAAATTTCTTTATGTTTAATTTGGAAATAAATCAAGCATGTTACTTTAATTTTATATTTAGAAATGCTCAATGTCGATGTCCTCAGAAACATTTTCACTGCTGTGCATCGGCACAGGTGTGTCTTATAATGTGGTGTATCTTCCTATTTTAATAAACCACATCTTCGAACCGCTAATCATTATTAGATTATTTACGTCATGATGAACTTCAGGGCAGTAACCATGCAGTCAGCGTTCACGAACGTTTACAAATTTAACCCATCGCTGAAATGAGAAACTCGGTAGTCAACTGGTTAACAGAATGAGGGTTCAAAGCATTATCATGAGTCATTACGTAAATTGTAAATTTAGTGTAATTTTGATTGATTTACATTCTGTTTTGAACAGATACAAGGCTAATTGTCAGAAATTTAGATTTATTTCGTTTTCCCACTTTATAAAAATTATGGAAAATCACCTCGATCAGTCGTTTGAGAAGGGTAAAACAAACCTTTTGCCTTTAATAGTACGTGCGGATAAATCATTATTCACGTATGTCAACGCGCAATCGGTGGGCATGCGAGCGAATCCGAGTACAATTCGTTTCGCTCTCTGCTACCAATGGGGAAAAACTTTGGTATGACTAATAGAATATTTCGGTGTTGCCTTGATATCGACTCAAAGGCTCACTCCTATCAGGGTGCTCAATCCAGGACGACGCGAACCCTTGAACGGATGCTAGGAGGGGGGCATTTGTAAGATTTGTGGACTTTCGTGGAGTTTTGCCACACCTCATAATATATTGCAGACCAGAGGTACAAACGTTTGTACGGAGGGAAGGTTTCGAACATCCGTGAACAACAATACAACATTTCCGCCCATAACATAGAAATATTCAAACTAATTGGATTGGCTCATCGCTCGAGTGAAACGCGGTGTATATTATATCTTCCAAAAGGAGTCAGATCCAGTCGACTTGTAGATCACCGCCTGAAAATATAAATTGAGAGCGGCGGTGGAACATTCATACATCATTCGCGTATCATTGAGAAGTCGGCCATTACATCTTGATGTTCTATTTACATCTGATGAGGATATAAACAATGAGTCACTTAATGTTTTATTAAAGACTGGAATACGTTTTTTAAGACGCTGCCCTTTTGGCGTTAGGTACTTCAACGTTGATTATAGTTTTCGCACCTTTCAGAGATAATAGCTGTCTAAATATTGGCTGTACTCAGTTAAAGACAAAAAGGAAAATAAAGAAGACAATAAATTTGGATCAGCGCAAAGTTCTGGTACATCTAAAGGATGCTGTAGCTGCAGGGTAGCAGACATATTTAGATTTTATCAGATTTAGAGCGATATGAAAGTCCTTCGGATAAGATTTCTGATCTATTCTGTTATACTTTCCCGTTTTTAAACTCTAGACTTCTGGGAGCAAGGAAAGCATTATCGTGGAAATATGAAGGAAATGTATTTCAGTTGCTTGTAGATAATAGTAGCTCGTTTGTTCTTGAAGAAGGAATGACTCAGGTTGCCACGGTTTTTCTGTCGTGTTCTCGTCGTCAACTCGCGATGTTGTCTAGTTATTTGCAACATGAGGCATGGACATTGGATACTGGAAGCATAACCGCATTTAGTACCTGACTTTGAAGAAAAAATAATTGATTTTAAAGAAAAACAATCTACATGTACATCGGAACCTTTCTTCGAAAAGCCCCTGTGTGGTGCTTTAAGTTGCAATTTGATTCCACAAACTGACAACTTTTCCAAATAACAGGAGAAACGTGCATTGCTTCAATCAGAACTATATTTGAAGAAAACTCTATTTTTCTTCGGGATACAATTTGAAATCGGAACCAAACATGAGCCGTCACGAAAGAGTGATATCTCTGCCGAATCTGTCAGGGGGGTACTCACTGACCCTCTCTTCCAATGGTGCAAACACACTGGTGATTCGACTGGTCCCTGATGGGCCGGACAACAGTACTGCGGTGGATGCTGGTGGTGGCGGTACTGGAGGAGGAGGAGGGTTTGGATGTGGGGATGTGAATGCGAATGATAGCTTTGACAGTGGTTACCAAGGCTACACGCCCACTCGGAATAGGAACACTTACCATGGCTTCAAGAATGGGTTGAACAAAATGAACAATGGATACTATTCCTTACCGGTGAGTTCATCAAGGCTAGAGGTGGGGTGGCGGGTGTGGCAGGTGTAGCGATGGTGGTGGTGGTGGCAACCGCGGCAGTTGTGGTAGTGGTAAAGTAGGAATGCAGGAGCAGTTCTGTAGTAGTAATAATGATTGTAATGGTGATCATTAAGATGATAATACTGTAATAATGATAACAATAATAATAAAAACATTAATAATATAACAATGATGATGATAATAATAAATAATAATAATAATAATAATAATAATTGCTTTGGGGAAGGTAACACATGGTTCTTCTACTCATTTTCCAAAAAGCATGCTACTCTTTTAAATTTATTAATGAGCAATATTTATTTACCCTTTTCTCTCTTTCTTTTTTGGAGGGGGTGCTTGAACTCCTATAACCAGATCTCTGAACCGCTACTGTCGGAGTGGTGTTATCGGGGATTAAATTTTTTTTTTTTTAAAGGAATGATAGAGAGGGAGATAGAGATGACGATGATGATGATGATGTCGAGAATGATGATGGTGGTGATGGTAATTAGATGTAAGCGTATTTGAGACGGTATTCCGTATTAAGCGCTATATTAATCCAGATTTATTTTGGTTCTTATGATGATGATAAAGATGAAAAGGATGAATCCGATACCGTTTAATCGTTTGATAAATAATGCATTGTACCAATAGCTAACAAAATCATGGATATACTGTTTGTCACAGGAATGTCCTTTGCAACCACTAGCCTGTAATATTTAATAATAGATAATCATAAATTTAAAATCCACACTGTTGAACTTCAAATATCAGTGCTGGATAAGATATAATACTACCTGAGAGTTAATGACTTTAATGCGATGAGGGTATTTGTAACCCCTTTTCGATGGACCTTGGTGGGGGATCTTAGCAAGTAGCTCGGAAGAGAGAGGTGGGGGTAATGTTTCCTCCTCCTCACCGAGGGAAAGGGGGTAACGGTTTCGAGCAGTATCGAGAGTGTGATTGGGATGGGGTAATCAGTGAGAAATCTTTCGAGAAAGAGTTGAAAAAATTGTTAGTGGTTAGTGGAATTGCGAACATTTCCAGCGAGAGAGGAAGAGAGAAGGAAATATATAGATAGATAAATAGAGAGAGAGAGAGTGAGAGTTAGAGAGAGAGAAAGAGGGGAATGGAGAGAGAGAGAGAGGGGGGGGGGAAGAGGGGAAGAGAGAGGGGAAGGGGAAAGAGAGAGGGGGTACAGAAAGAAGTGAAAGGCATATTGGTTAAATCAGATTTCGTGTAATTAGATAATTTATTTTAGAGACCAGGATAATTACGGAGTAAGCCAATTTGGTAAAGTTAACAATAAAATAATGATACATTAATGTAATGGTTGTACAAAGCATAGCCCTTACAAATGCAATTTGTTAGAGTTGAATACTTTCATAACTTATTAATTATTTAGAAAGCGAAACAACTACCGTTTGGTGTCAAAAGAAGGGCTCTGAAAATGACTTAAGTCATACTTAACAGACGAGATTGAATATATTTATATCAATTAGAGTTGGACTGCATCTCAAGTATCTGATTTGTTATGGATCAGCCCTGTCTCTCACTTTCACTTTCACTTACTTTCACTCGCCTGTAGCACACATATCTTACAATAGCCTATTATCTTAGCTAAAAATGATTCTAATGTTTTTATTGATATATCAAAATGAATGCTCTCACAATGACTGTCTGATAGCAGGAAAGAGAGTTGCTTTAGTTGATATCATATGAGTTAACTTTAAAGGCAGGCTTTACTACTTCAGCTAGAAGGATTAGAAAACCCAGCGAGCCAGCGAGGTCACTGTGACAGGTGGCTATCTCATTAACTCAGCTCTCATTTAACATAAGAAAAAGAGGACCATGGGGGACCAACAGGCACCGATTGGGGAAGTTTTCTATATAGAGGGAGCAAGTAGCTACAAGTAGGACAGTGTGCCTTTAATTTGTCTTGTGACTTCTGGTCTTTAGACAGTATTAGCACATGAAGAAGATGTTTCCCTCTTTATCTTATTTTACCTCTATCTCTATCTCATTTAACATAATACAGCGCAATTACATTTTTTCCTTCCTTCCACTATGTCCACAGTGACTACTTACCATTTATTTTACTCTTCCTTGTATCATGTGTATCTGTTCTCTCTATTTTATTGTTCGTTTAAAAAAAAAAAAAAGATCATTGGATAATATTCACTATATCAGTCCTCTTCCTTCATTTATCTCTCTCTCTCTCGTTCCCTTTCTCTTTCCTCTCTATCTCTCTTTCTCCCATTTTCCACTCTTGATATGTCTCTTCCTCTCTCACTTTCTATTCCCTTGCCCCTCCACTTCTCGTTCTGTCTCTCTCTCTCTATCTCTCTCTCTCTCTGTATGTCTCTCTCTCTCTCTCCTTCCCTGTCTCTCTCTCTCTCTCTCCCGCCCATTCATCCCTTCCCCCTCGTTCCACTCTTTACATATATATATATCTCCCCCTCTCTCAGTCTACTACCATCATGTATGTTCCATTTCTTCTCTTGTCAATGTACCCCCTATATGTTGAGGTACGGCACCAGGTCGCCTGTCTAATTCTATATTTACATCTTTCATAGATTGTATCACTCTTCTACCCTGGTGTCCAGAAGTTTTGCACCGCATTTCTTTCGAATCACTTCCATATCCAGATTTGAAGTTCTTATATTCTGTGCAGATATTTTCTTTCTTGCGTACTTATTGAAATGGGATATCGTATTATTGTAGGCCTGTTCTTTTTATAATCGAAACATTAACTCTTTTCTATCTCGATTTTTTGTAGTTGACGTAATTCATATTTCGAGAATTGATGGGAGAAGAGACTATTTGATATGCAGATCATAACATTCGGAACCATAATGAAACAAGAAGACAATTGAACATTACACGATTTCACAAACGACAACATTTGGCGTAGTCTACTCTAAATGACAGAATAGATTATTTCAAGCCTCAATAATATCATTTCAAGGCTTTTCCTTACATCGATTGTTTTATTTATCATCCGGAGTGTTTCTAATTATTTATGATAGCATTCTTTCGATGTTGGTAAATCTGTACTACAATTGTCACAGAGAACATTCGTGCCCGAATTAGAAGAGGAAATTTTTAAAAGATTTATAAAGAGCAATAAAATGGGCTGATCTACTGGAAGACAGACTAGTCACATTCGAAACAAAACAGAAGGAGAGAGAAAGAACGGATGTGTAATAACTAGGATTGTTACACTCATATCCGTTAAATTAAGTTTTGCTCAGCAGAGGGATTGCTCCGAGGATGAACGATGGCCGGGGAACTCCCCCTTATATCTGAGTCTTGCCTTATAAACTACTACGGGAATAACTAAAGTCTCTCCGCTATTTAATGTTTACTGCTGCAAACGGCATAAAGATTGAGATATGACAAGAGAAAAAGAGAAGAGAGAGGGAGGGGAATTAGGGAGAAAATATGAGAGAGTCAGAGAGAGAAAAATAAAGAATGAAACTTAAAGAAAGGCAGGACGAAGATAGTAAATGGAAAAATTAAAGAAACTATTTAATTTGAAAATATTTTTAAGTAAACATGGAAGTGTTTGAGTATCTATCAAACTATCAAAAGTATTAATATTTAGTGCGAGTTTATAGATAATTTTTCTTCTTTTTTATTGTCCTTTAATAATCTCAGTTGGAAGAAACTAGCAAAAATACTATCCAATTTTTTTTTAATTTGAGTAATTAATATAAGCTATTCTGGTTCATATGGCCATAAGGAAAAATTAATTGAATAATAAACCGAATTGGATTCATAACAAAGAGGGTGATTGAATGATAAAATTTAGCAATCTTTTAATAAAAGATCATTGAAAAAGAACGAAAACTGAACAGATAACAAATGTAACAATGCACAAAAAGACAACAAGAAGGAATAACACGGCATTAAAAGAGAAAATAAAAGTGGAATACAAGAATAGAATGTCACAATATAGAAAGTTCTATTAAACAAAGTATGTGGGCCTAAGATTAAGAACATGATTTTGGTTTGGCACACACATATCCATTATGTACAGAAACGGAAAGTGTTGAAACGGGGTAAGTCAGTACTGCCTGTCTGGGCCGATAAAGCAACATGTCCGACCTTAGCCGACCCATTAAAACCCAAGACGTGACCAAAGAGTAGAGATTTAGCTTAAATTGTGAGGGAAATGGGGAAAAAGAAAGGAAATGTGTTTTCATGATTCATAATTTTTCTGCCATTCATGCAATTTCTTTGGTTATGTCGATTGTCGAGCAAATCCTGCTTAAAATATTTCGCATTTTAAGCATGCACAATGTATCCAGAAATGGATAAACATGCAGGTGCGAGGGGTGGGGGGGGGGGGGGCTCACCTCTCCTGACCTGGAGTAGGGGAGGGGTGATGTCTTTCGGTAGTCCTTCGTCATGTAAGCACACTGTTAGCCGAGGGAGGGGGTGAGGTGTTTCATCTTTTTGAATGGATGGATTCCTTCGTATTCTTTGCTTGTCACGGTTTTTCACTAGATCTTTGGAATCATTCTCTTTAAACCCTTGGATAAAAGAGTTAGATTATAGTTTCTCTGTAAACGGTAGGCCATTTCATATATGGGCTATCACTTGTGCTATTACAGAACTGTTTTTTTTTTTTAAAGAGAGTTTAAATACATACCTCTTTGTTGTTTACGAATTATATTTCTCGTTTTCTAATAAATGAAATAAGGTTTGACGATTTCTGAACAATGCAATATGAAAAATATGAAAGAAAACAAAAAAAGGTTCGAATTTGCTGAGCATTTCTTTTACAGTAAGACTCATACACCTGCATTGAGAAAATGACACCTTGTATACGCTTACTTTTACAGAATCAGGAAGACATTATACCTCGAAAGCTAGATATCTTTGTAACTATAGCAACAATACAGTTAACGGAGGTGTCAACTAATGTGTGTATCTTCCGAGCCCCTGCTAATACCTGTCAAAACCTATATTGTTAA